ATTTAAATCTATGATCCATTGTGAATTAATTTTTGTGTAAGATATGAGGTTTAAGTCAAAGCTCATTTTTTGCCTATAGATGTATATTGTTCTAAATAGCACAATTTCTTGAGAAAACTATCCTTCCCCCATTAAACTGCTTTTGCACCTCTGTCAAAAATCAATTGGGCATATTTGTGTGAGTCTATTTTTGGGTTCTTTATTCTGTTCATTGATCCATGTGTCTATCCCTCTGTCAATATCATAGTCTTGATTACTGTCACTCTAAAGGAAGTCTTAATATACGGTAGAGTGATTACTCCCAATTCGTTCTATTTTTCAAAATTGTTTTAGCTATTTCAGTTTCTGTGCTTTCACATATAAATTTTAGAACAAGTTGGTCTAAATCTATAGGAAAATCCTGCAGGGATTTTGATAAGAATTGCATTAAACCTATAAATCAATTTGGGGAGGACTGACGTCATTACTCTGTTCAGTCTTCCGATCCATAAATGTTTCTCCACTTACTTAGATCATCTTTGATTTCTTACATCAGTGCTTTGTAATTTTCAACATATAGGTCCCTCGCTATGTTTAATTACATTTATACTTAAAGCATTTTGGGGAGAGTAACCATAAATGGTGTTATGTTTTTAACTTTATTCACCACATATTTATGGCCAGTGTATAGATACATGATTGACTATCTTGTTTATGTTTATGTATGTTTATCTTGTATCCTGTGACCCTGAGGAACTCACCTACTAATTCCAGGAGGGGTTTTTATTTTTTTCTTTTTGAGGGGATTTTACTACATAGACAATCATGTTATCTGAAAATGGGGGCAGTTTTATATCTTTCTTTCCAATCTCTATGCCTTTTATACTACTTTTTTTGCCTGACGGCACTGGCCAGGACTTCCAGTCCTCTGTTAGGTTGTGAGAACAAATACCCTTGTCTTGTTCCCCGTTTTAGGGGGAAAGCATTCAGTCGCTCACCCTAAGTGTGATGTTAGTGGTACACTTGGAGGTCTTACCTTTGGCCAGCTGTAGAATACACGCTACACATTTAACTCTAGGCAGAGACTTCTCCTTTATGTCATAGCTAGGGAAGGGAATCTCCACAAACCTAAGTATTAGTATACAATTGCAATTGATGCCAATGACAAAAAAAGTGAGAGACATCTCACTTGATTGAGGCAAGCACCCAGTGAGGGAACGTAAGTTTAATGGAATATAGATCTCAGAGTAAGGAGAAACTGTGCTGTTCTTTCTACCTCGTGTCTACCCACTACCCTCATACAATAAAGCTTTTGCTCTGAGAGGGTGCCAACCTTCCTCCACCATTTACACTGCTCCAGTGCAATGCACAAGTGAGTCAGGTCCGGCCAACTTATCCACTCCATCCTCTGCACCAAGTATTATATTTAGCCCATAAAATTCAAATATGGGACCTTTTAAAAATTATTATGCAAAAGCTCTCTTTCCCCTAGACTTATAGATCAGGGATCAATAAACTGTGGCCTATGATCCAAATATGGCCTACCATCTGTTTTTGTAAATAAGATTTTATTGAAATACAGCCACACCCATTCATTTACATATCATCCTTGGCTGCTTTTGAGCTATAACAGCAAATTACTATCTGGCCCATTATAGAAAAAGTTTGCTGACTCCTGTTCTTAATAATAAAATGAAGCCTAGAGTAGTAAGGAAGCATCTCACCACTATATGAAAAGAACATGCTGGGAAATGAAGCCAACACAGAAGAAGAAACCAACTCCAGTATTATGTAAGTTCCCAGATTCAGATGGGCTGGAAACTATTATACCCCAGTGTTTGTCAGTTATGTAAACCAATAAATCCAGCTTTTTCTCAAGCGAGTTTGAATGGGGTTTCTTTCATCTGAACTAAAAGAATTCAAATTCAATACATAGACAAAAATCCATAATGTTCCTTGTAGGAAACCAGCTCTAATGTCTTCCTCCATTATACGTCCAGCAATACCAGAAAGACATCAAATATTTCCTTAGACAAGACTATGACTGCATTCTAAAAAATTATGATTTATTTAACAACTAAATGTTGCAAAATCACCTGATTTGGGGTTCATTGGGTTTTTGTTTTTTCTTTTGTTTTTCCTAAGCAATCATCCTAAGGTATTCTTGAACGTTGAAAGAACAAAAAGAATGGAAACCAAAAGTAACCCCCTCTCCCGCAAAAAAAAAAAAAAAAAAAAAAATCCAACACTGAATAATCCATCACAGAATAACTGAGATAGAAGTATAAAAACAGAAGATAGGTGACACCACTAACTTCCTTAAAATAAGTAAATTGCTCCAGGACCAGCTAAAGAAAGAGCTAACTAGAGAAATCCAAAACACTCAAGGAGACAGGTTTGACTCATTAGGGAGATGGTGATTAAAACTGAAGCTGTTAATTGTCCAGTGAGCACACATCTCCAGCAATGTTCCCCGGAGGCGCTCAGCAATGGGAGACTAAATTAAGCCTAGTATTACTGTCAATTATGCATGCATCATTTGTCTTGTATTTATCTCTCTTTTTAGGAAACTAAAAAGTACACAGAGGTGTGGTTTTCAGTGCAAGCCATGTATTCCTGTGCGGAAATAATTTTATATCATGTTTAGAAACAGAATTATTGTGTGTTTAAACTTGTTTCAATGTGTACATTCCGGAGCAAGGAGATGTTCCTTCAAACGGGACGCTTTCCATCTGCAGAAGCCAGATGTTAATCTACAGGGAAACTGAAGTGGTTAGTAAGACAACCAATTATACACAGAGGACAAATATCAAGTGGTGCGGAGAGAGAGGAGGAGGCAGCTTAACATGCAGTTGGTGAAGCAGTTTTGGAACTCCAACTTATCGGGGGAAAAAATGATAGTGGGTTTTTTTGGATTTTTTTTTTTTCTTTTTTTTAAATCCATACCAAGAATAGTATGCAATGACAGGATTTTTTTCCCCCTCGGTATTTCCTAGGAGTTGAAGAATCACTAAGAGTCAGTGAAAGTATTGTAAAAATGAACTACTAAGTGAGAATTCTTAGAAGGCAATTTGACATTTTATTTCTACTAAAGATGAAAACCAAATACTTCTAGGGTTAGTCATGGGTTCAAATTCCAGCCTTGCTAACAAGCCACAGTATCCTTGCTCCTCTTCTTCCTTAAAGGAATAATATGCCCCAGGTCCCGGCTGCCTATGTACAGCCTAGATTTCCCACACTCCTTTGCAGATAGAGGTGGCCAGATCATTATGTTTGGGCCAATGGAAGTGATGAGTGCGCCTGCTGGCTCCTTCAAAATGCTTTCTCTGGACTCGTTCATCTCCATTTTCTGGCTGGAAAATGGCAATCACTGGAGCAACCTGGGAAGCCATGGAGCCATGGGTTGAGGATGGCAGAGGGACTTCTGCTAGGCGCAGACTGCTCCCTTCCCGACTCTCAGAAATACACTCACCTGTGTTACTTAAGCCACTGTACTTTGGAATCTCTCTGTTCTAGTAACCTAGCCTGTACTCTGCTAATACAGTCACTTTACTAAAAAATGATTTGCCCCTCGTTGCACAGATAGTGAACTCTCTAAGCCTCAGTTTCCTCATCTATAAAATGGAATCCTAACACTTATTTCACTAAGTACTAAGAGAAATAAATGGCTTAAGAGATGGAACGTGCCCAATCTCATGCCTAACATGCAAAAATGTGCTCAACGAATGGTAGATGATGCTAGCAAAGAAGAACTGTTCGGGAAGCTGCTTTCAAAGGCCTCTGGCATCAAGCAGCTATTGTGCCCACAAAGCCCTAAAGGTAGAAATGTGTATCTGGTTTTGAGAGGGGTTTCTATGGGTAACAACGTATGCAGAGAGCTATCTTACATTTTAGCCCGGGAGAAGAATTAACATTAAACAAAGCCTAATTATAGTCTAGCAAACTGTGCCTACATCTTTAAATAGTTCATTAAATCTTGCTCTATATTAGTAAATGTTATGCAAACATTAACTATTTATCTATGCATAGCTGACTGAATTGAGTCCCATGCTTGTAGAAAATATAGTGAAAGTAGAAAGGTACATTAACCTACACTGCCAGATCACCTTACCAGGGTAGGCTAAGAAAGAGACACACAAGTGAGCTGGAATTATCTATACTGCAAACCCAACTTGGCACGCAGAGTTCGACAGTCAATGGAGATCATAACCTGCTTTCTCCTTGCACACATTTTCCCTCTTTGGATAGTGCCTTTGCAAGGGTGAAGTACTGGTCCTCTGGCATTGTAGATTCTTTCCATCTTTTAGTGGTGGGACATGGATATTAGACTGTACTCTTTGGATTTTCCTAACCTTGAGATGTCCTGAACACTAGAGCTGAGATCCTTGGCACCAAGGTAAGGGGACTACTCTGGCTCTAGGGACCTCCCCAGGGCTCTCCTATGGGTTTTACACACCACAAGATGCAGAAACAACAACAAGATTACATCATCCAGTTGAGGCCAGCATCTCTGAAATGGCAGCAGGAATCACATCACCAGGCTTAACTCTTTGCATGTACCCTGATAATGTCCCACTGCTTATAATGGGATGTGAGTTACTACGGTGACGGGAGGCTGAAACAGAAGGCAATGATAAAAGCTGTTGCATAACCTGTACACACTATGATGAGCACTTATCCCATTAAAATGGATTTGAGATAAAGCTTTGCACCCTTCTTTTTGGAGGTATCAGATGGTCAATAAACATTCAGTAAGACAGACTGGACTCTGCCTCCTTTAAGAGACTGACACACTTGCAGAACCCATGCCTTAGGACCGCCAGGCCAAAGATCAGGAACTACAATACACACACACACACACACAGAATACCAATATCCATCAACCTAGGAATAGAAAACTACTTCTGGTACATTGGTTTCAAGGACCCAAGGCTCTTGGACAACAGTAAAAATCACCGCACTAGGAAAGCAAACAACTCAGGACCTTTATTCTTGCTTGACTTCCCTGAATTGTTACTTACAGGTTCCCGGCCATCCATGGCTTCCATCCAGAGCCTCCGGTCCTCTTCTGACAATGCCTGCATGGTGATAACCCCTGGCCTGTGGAGAAAGGAGGGACACGGATATGAACCCGGAGCCACACTGTGGAGAGACTGACAAAGGTGAACCTGTAAACACTCACTCAACAGAAGTGAATGGCTGCTAGCATTAACACCACAAAGAGAAGCACAAAGCTCGCTTTCTAAGCCACCTGCCAGTCTCAGAAAGCAAAGCCACCTGCCCAAATCCCTCTGAGTAAGCCCATCTCCCTCAGAGGGCCAGGAAGGAACACAGAAGATATTTTACAGGTAAGGGACACAAAAAAGTAAAGTGATTCCTCCAGACGTTCGTTCCTTGAAATCTTATTCATTTCAATTCCTCAAAATGCTTAACAGTGTTTTACTCACAGTAGGAATGCAATAAATATCTGTTGATGTGAATGGAATTATTATACTCAAGGTTAAAAGAGGGGAAAACTCCAATCCTCATCTCCCAATATCTAGCCCAATGCTTCTAAACTGCTTCTGACATGGAGAAGTTTTAGGAGGTAATCAGCTTTGTAGTTACGATTATGTTAAATGCACATAGTATTTTTTAAAAAATGAATAGTTAACCATGCCAGGTGGTAAGTGATTTACATGCATTAGATCTTTTCACTTACTGACATCTGCTTGCTCTTTAAAACAGAGCACAAACCCTCCAGAAGACATGCACGCAATATCAGATGGTGTTTGCTGAGTTCCCATTACGCAGGGCATTCCAGGAGAGAGAGAGACTGTGACATAAAAATGACCTTGGGGGAGAGACTCAAAGCGCATTAAAGCAGGAGTTCTTCACTCAGAGTCCACAGATGGATCCCAAAGTGTACCCAAACCAACCCCAACTGTATGTGTGTTTTTCTGAAAAACAGTTCAAACTGTCCATCAGATTCTCAAAGAGGACCAGAACCCTCAAAAAGTTAAGAATTACTTGCCAGCAACTTCTGGGTAGAAAAAAAGAAAACAAAACAAAACAAAAAAAGAATTACTGATTAAAACCCTTATCTTTTAAAGCTGGAGAAAGCCTGAGGAGGAGGAAGAGGCCCAGCGAGTAAACACTGAAGTTCTATCACCATCCGAGCCCACGAGCACCGCTAACGACCACACAGCGACAGAGCAGTGAACGTGCAGGCTGGAAACACCCTGAGCAGCACGAGCCCGGGCCCCCCAAGCACCCAAGCCGGTTCATTCTGACCCACCTATAATCCCTGCTCCTGGCTTATGTCCATAGTTCCAGTGGATATACTAGATCCTCCTTACAGTCAACATATTTCAAAAATCACACTTTTTTGCTTTCATTCATCATCCCTCAATATCCTCTGAGAAAAAGGTTTCCAAGGATGTGATCACGTAGGAACAGAGGGGTTGGCTGGAAACGCGAAGGGCTCCGGGGTGGGGGTGTGAGCGCGTGGCTCTGCATGTGTGTCGTGAAAGAGAAGAGAGTGAGAGCAAGCCAGAGACAGAGGGGCAGGGAGAGAGGAGCGGAGGAGGGGGTGTATGTGGGTCGGAGGAGGGTAAGCTAGATGGGTGGGTGTGCTGAGGAGGGGTGGGACATAGATTCCTGCGAGGCTGGTCACCCCTGGGAAGGCCACACTGGACATGGGCACCATAATACAAAGAGGACTCAGAAGACGGAATAACTGCTCTCTCCATGAGCAGCTGCCTGGACTCTCCTCCTCCTCCCAGAAACTCTCCTTCTCAGACCCAACTGCCCACTGCCCACCATCTGCCTGTCCAGCGCACCAGCCGTGCTGGTGTCTGCAGCCCGTGCTGACAGCCATGGCTCCACAGAAGCGCCCTGTGGCTTTGGGGCACGATGGACTGACTCTAGCCTTCCACCTTTCAAAAAACCAAACGCAAAGTTTCACGCTTCTTAATCAACAGTCTATGAAGCTAACACTCCACTGTAGAACTCTCAAGTCCCTGGACCTGGGTCTTTGAGTGTTGCTCAAGGTGTTATACCTGCATCACCTGCTTCAGAATAAAACGGAGATTCCTAGTCCAATCTTACCCTACTGACTCTGAACTTCTGGGTGGGGCCTGGGAACTTGGATTTTAACCAACTCCCCAGGTGATCTTGATGCACAGGACACTCCACCCACTCTTTTCTTCCCTGTTCCCCTTGCATGAGAGAACAAAGACACCCTCCCTCCATACGGCTGGGGCCAAGGAGCCCACATGCCCCCAGTTCCTCTCCTGCCAGGCACTCACCAGCAAACAGTGAGATCACAAGTTCTGCCTACCTAGCAAGGGCTCAGGGACCTCACAGATGTCACATCAGCTTCATGGCACACAGTGTGAAGTTTCCACCCAGAGCCACAAAGAGGAAGTTCACACAAACCCAAAGGCTGTGAACGGAGGGCCAAGTGGCCTTGGTAACCAGGAAATTCAACAGGATCTGTTTTTATTTCAAGAAGACATATCAAAATACAAGTTCTTTTCCACATGTGGTCTTGTTCCCTTTTAGGGGAAGAAGGAGAGTGCGGGTGCTGATGGTGCAGAAAGTAGATTTAACACCCTCAGTTCAGGTGATTTTCTCTCAGCTTTCTGGACCACAGCACTATCCTTTCTAGACATCTAGAAAACACTCACTTGGCTCCAAGTTCCTTTTCCTTCACTGCAAATAAAACCACTATTATACAAATCTTTTGCATTTGAATTTCCTGGAACCAAGGTAAAAGGGTCAACTTTCTTTATTTTGTAATCAAGCAATAGCTTTCTTTCCATATTTGCCTTCCCTGTGCTCCTACTAACCATCATCCCTCAAAACAAAATAAAACATGCAAAACCCTCAATGATCCTCCACTTTCCCTGTCAGTCCCTATAAGACAGCATACTCTGATACCTTCTCTTACAGGGTGTCAATTTAGTTCATGTTTGAAATAGGTGTGGTTTTTCATAGCAAGAGAGAAAGAGGAAGAGCAGAGCAAATAGGGGGAGATATGGAATGAGGAAGGGAAAGTATAAAACTAGGAAAGAGAAATGGAATAAATGATCAGAGCTAGTGCAATGATTAGTTTCTCATTCCACAAAGAATCGTGAGCTTGTTAGACACTATAACGAGAGAATGTCAATAATTGTAACCGGCACTATGCTCCAGTTGCTGTACCAAGCACAACATACAAGTTAACTCATTTAATCTTCACAGCTATGTCATGAGGTAAGTATATTCTCATTACTCCCATTTAGCAGATGAGAAAACTAAGGCTCAGAGAGGGTAAGTACCCTTGTCCACAATTGCAGAGCTAGCAAGTCACAGAGCAGGATGTACATACAAGCAGTACATGATGCCACAGCCAATATGAAGGCACTACAGACCCCAGGGAGCTCACGCTGGCCTCTGGTGTCAAAATTGGCCAAGCACTCCTACAAGAACCTTAGTGAACTCCTGCAAGGGATCAAATGAGACCTCATGGTAAAGGGCTCTGGTAAAACCTAAACAGCTTCATAAATACAAGGACTCGGAACACCGAGTATTGATAAATTGGACTTCACCAAAATGAAGAACTTGCATTCATCAAAAGATACTATTAAGAGAATGAAAAAGCAAACCAGAGTGAGAGAAGATATTTGTAATATATATCTCCAGCAAATACCTACAAATAGATAAGGGGGAAAAAAGAACCCAATGCAATAAAACATTTGAATAGGTACTTCATAAAAGTAGACATCCAAATGGCCAACATGCATAAGAAACAGGGTCCAAAGTGATTTTTCACCAGGGAACTGTAATTAAAACCACAATGTGGTAAGATACCTGCCCTGGACAGAAGGCATTAAGAGGACCACCAATACCAAGTATTGGCAAGCAGGCAGAGCAACAGGTACTCTCATACATTGCTGGTGGGGGAATAAATTGACAAAACCACTTTGGCAATATCTGCTCAAACTAAACATACACCTGCACTATGACCTAGAAACTCGACCTCCCTCCCTCCCTCCCTCCCTTCCTCTCCCCCCCCCCCCCCCCCCCCCCCCCCCCCCCCCTCTCTCTCTCTCTCTCTCTCTCTATATATATATATATATATATATATATAATCAAGAGAAATGAGCACACATGTGTACCGAAAGGCACATAAGAATGCTTGAAGTCTTATTGATAATAGCCAAAAGTTGCAAAAACAATTAATAGCCATCAATACGAGAATAAATTGCTGTATGTTTAAACAATAGGACACCAAACAATAACAAAAAAGAACCAACTACTGCTACGTGCAACAACACGAATCAAGGTCACAGTCAGATAAGGAAAAGAGGCCAGACACAAAAGCCTAAAAACTGTATGATTCCATCTATATGATGCTCACATACTTGCAAAACTCCTCTATGGGGACAGAAGTCAGAAGAGTGATTTTGTCTGGAGGTAGGGACATGGGCAATGAATAGGAAGGGGCACAAGGCAACCTTCCTGGCGTGATAGAAATGTTCCATGTCATGATCCGGGTAACTACTCAGGGGTAAAAAGTCTGTAAAAAGTGTATCAAAAGTCATTAAAATACAGACTTAAGATTTGTGTTTTTTACTGTGATTATGCCTCGATAAAGAACTTTTAGATACCCAAGAGATAAGACTTCTCATCAATAACTTGGCTCCCTGGTTATCCTGACTCTAGTGCTCCCTAGCTGTGTAACCCGGGCGGACTAGCGATTGAACTGCCCTAGGCTACTCTTATTACCTGTATTTTAAAGGACAGTGGCATGGAGCAGTTCAACTACTCGTCCACTAGCGTTATCAGGACTATACCTCAGGGCGTGTTGTGAAGGTTCAACGAGAGGTACAGAAGGTATTTCAAAGCGTCAGGCACACAATAAATGCTCCCCAAACTAGCTGCTATCACAGGGGCAGGTGGGGTGAGAGGGAACAGGATGGCAAGTATGGGGTAGTGTTAAAATTATGGCTGGAGAAGGGCAGGTGTGTACAGTTTCAAAAGGCAACAACACAACCCACAGGTGCTGATACGCAAGACTCCAGCCCCAACACGCTCACCCGCAGCACTGAAAATCATGCCTCCATCACAAAGCA